AAATGTATCGATAGATCCAAATCTGGTCTTAGATTGTAAAAGCGACTTTACTCAATTCGCACAATTTCCATAAAAAACATTGACTTATGATTCACGTATCCATTGTCCATTTTCGAATTTCTTTGAACCTTTCCTCAGTACTGCGTGAAAGAGTACGAGCTCAAAAGAACAGGAAATTGTTTTATCTTGCTTAACTTAACTTAAATCATTTTTTTTAAACTCTTCGCTTCACATAACATTCTCCATACAATTCTCGTTTTAACATATAAAGTTGGCCTTTTCTTATGATTCCTTTAAAAAATTTCTACCACTCGACCAAAGTACTGGATTTTAGCAATTGGCAATATTCATCCATAATTCCCATCCTACTGATGGTCAATTTGAACATTTCTTGAAACTATTCCTCAATACTGTGGAAAGAGTACTAGAATTCAAGCAACTGAAAAAATCTTTGGTTCAGCCTACAAGTGGCGAATATTCTCTACATAAATACATTTCCCATTTTTTCTACCACTCGATTAATGTACTCAATTCGATCAATCATATTCATCTTAGTACTATGGTAATTTGAACGTATCCAGGAACTATTCGTCAGTACTGCGTGAAAGACTACTAGCTCAAGGAGATGAAAGAACTTTTTCGTTTAACCTACAGGTGGTAATATTTTCCGATACATTTCATGACAACTCGATTAAAGTACTCAACTCAATCATATTCATCTTAGTACTATGGTAATTTGAACGTATCTCCGGGCATTTGGTCAGTACTGAGTGAAAGACTACGTGCCCGAAGAGATGAAAGAGTTTTTGGTTTAACCTACAGGTTGTCATATCCCCTAATTCCCATGGCTTATTATCTTTGCCTTCTGATAACTTTCTTAACTTTCATTACATATTCATTGTATTTCTATAGCGCTTTCGTTTATCTTATCTCAGTTCCTCATTAATTATTCTGCTTCCTGGCCCTAACTCATAATACTTAATTCAACAAGTTTCTATATACCCTATATATCTTAGTCATCTTAAACTCTCATCTAATATACGTATATTATTAACTTCGGGGATCCCCTTTACTGCTCTATCAAACAACACACCTTATTCTCTGCTTTGTCTCTTTTTGTTTCTCTCGGCCTTTCTTCATTTAACAAACAAAAACCTTGGAAATGGATACATGAATCAAAGTACCGAACTTACAGTATGTGCTTTAAACTTCTCGGAAAAAATGTTTGTGCCTTAGCACTATGTGTATCAATCCTGTGCTTGATGTGCGCATCATCAGAACACGAGCGGCCAATAAAGGCAACTTTAATTGACACCTAACCCAGGTTAAAGGAAAAAATATCTGAATATTTCTAAGGAATATTAGGAATTTTGCCGTCTACAATTTATTATCATTTTGATAGATTGGTTGAAATAGTAGTTTGCTTTAAATAAATCATAATGTTCATACTTCCATAAATAATTCTGTTATTTGTATCTTTTTATTGTTGTTTTGTTTATTTGATTTTGTAAAAGTTCCGTTGATAAAAGTCATTTACCCTAAAAAATTAACTAACAAAGTTTTTTTTGTTGATTATGCTCTATAGTTACGAATATTCTAAGTCCAAATAGTTGTTTCGACAATCTATATTTTTGAGTTCAATAATTCTAGCAAAGTTATAAGTCCAATGTCGATGATATTGAAATATGATAATTCTCTAAGTCCAAGAATTTTAGCTAGTTATGGAAAGTTTTACAAGTCCCAAAGTCAAATTTAATAATTTAAGATAAAATCTCTAAGTCCATGAATTTTAGCTAGTTATGAAAAGTTTTATTTGTGTACAATACCTTTAACATTAATAATAACATATAACATATAGATACTTGGGTCATAACAATTCTTCCTCTATTTGCATTTTACTTTTCCGTCGGCCATATTTGACCCAATTCCGGTTCATGAATGACACAGTCAATTGTGTTATGTAGCGCGCGTAATTGCGATTGATAATTAGTGGACATTTCACCTATTTTGGAGGTAAGTTCCTGCATCAGATCAAGTATCTGCGTGTCAGCATTTGAATTAATTAATGATACTTGGGGCGCAGAATTAGTGTTTTCATCATTTGCTGCTATTTGGTTTATGCTTTCACCCAATTTTGCCTTTTGTTCAGCTGTATCTATATCACCAGGATCCTGACTTATTACAAAATTACGTATTGCGGGTCGTAAATTGGTAACAAAGATATCTAACCTTTCCTCTGGAGTTTTATTTAAATGTGAACATTTTAAATGAATGTCTGCTGCATAATCAGCTACTGATTCGTGTTCCCCTTGTTTGCGATTTAATAACGTTTGTTGTAGGACCCATCGTGGTCTATTTTCAATAAATCGGGCCTTAAATAAATTTTCTAATTCTGGCCATGTGCTAGGTTGTGGAGTTAATTCTGTAAACCAAATTTCTGCAGAATCCTTTAAAAAATGGGGAAATATTAGGGCCTTTTTATTAGAATCCCATACATTAAGTTTAGCATACGCATTGAATTTGTTTAACCAATGTTTTGGATTTGTGTCAGATTCCCTACCAGAAAAATGATTAGGTTTTATACTTACATAACCCATGCTTTTCGTCGCCGCTGGAGCAGAGGCTCGTGCATTCTCCGGAATGGGAAAACGTGCCATGGCTTCGTCGTGGTTTTTCCGTATCTCCATCTGCGCCTGTCTCTGGGTTTCCATCATTTCCTCCAGAACACGAATTTTCTGTCCCATCTGGGAATTCCTGTCTACGTTTTCAGTGAGTTCTGTTATTTTTTCACTCAGTGACTCCCCGATCTGTCTGTCACCTTCTAACCGTCTCAACCGGTCTTCAATTGCTTGGTTCCGCGTGTTGGTTGATGTCATATTGTTTTCCCCCGATTAACACCAAAACAAAGCAGCTCCACCAATTGTTGTATGGGGTTTTCTTCTTAGATTCAGCCCCACCCTGAATGAAATTATATTTGCCCCGGGGATCGTGGTGCAATCGGTTACTCACAACAGACCATTATGTTCCCCAATATTCTAACTTGTATTCCATGATTCCCAAATAATTGTAACGGACTTGTTAATTATAATTAAAACAAATATTTTTATTCCAAGCTTTACAGTTCTCTAATTAATGCAATAAGTACATTTATCTCAACTGATCAAATGCTTTACCAGTTGTATGTCTCTTCATAAATATTTCCTAATATTGAACATCAATCATATCAAATCTTAAATTCTTAACTTTCAATTCTAGATTCTCGACTTCTTAAACTTCTCAAACTTCTCAAACTCCTCAAACTCGCTTGGCCTGTGATAATTATATAAAATGATATCGATGTGAGGTTGGTAAAGTATATTTTAAATTTTACAAACATATATGTTTCATGTAAAATGCAGATCCTTGTTGAATGATTTAATTCCTATAATATATCCGCGCTTGTTAAATAAAAGATTTTCTCATACAAATAATGAATAATAAATATGAATTGAAAATGCTTCGTTAATCGTTCTATCTCTCTCAAATTGCCTTATTCCGAGAGCCGCAAAAATTACCCGTATCAAATTTGTTTCCCCTTTCTCCCTCTTTCCATGTTTCCAATCCATTCACAGATCCCCTCAAGATTCCCCATTTCAAGTCCGTTCCCAGTTCCGAGTTTGTTTCGAGTTCCCCGTTGGTTCCGCGCTTTCGATCCGTTCCCAGTTCTCCCTGAATCAAGTCTAAACTGCCATTTATATACCCGTAAGAGATGCTATTCTTAGCTACGGGCCGCGTGACGTAATTTACGTATGAAAGTAGAATTGATACAAGAATGAATCATAATCGGAAATGATTCCATTTATGGTATTGACCGGAAATTATGCCTAATAAGGAAGATGAGTAATAGTTCTTCTATATGTGAGATCGGCGGTAATTTTTGAATCAAAGAAAGTGTACACTGTTTGAATTTTGAGTTACAACATATCTAACTACGCGAAATAGAATTTTAGCTTAAGTCCCAATTAGTCAAGGAAGAGCAATAGGCCCGCATTTATTGATAATTTTCACCGCTGAATAAAAGTCCATATCTCAAAACGTATTGAGACCCCTTTTGTGAAAAGCTAGCATAATTTAAACATTTGTCATTCCAATATAAAAGTGATTCATTTGTAGCATTTATCTTATTAATACCTGAGAAACAATACAAAACGTCGATACACTGATTACATATTTTTGGGTATTGATAAGAAAAATAACCTCAAACTTATAGCTTAGAAACCTAAATCATATATTTAAAATCATTTTGTATTATTTTCTGTTGCATTGTGTACTCAAAATTGGGATTTAATTTTTTGGTGATTTTTTTACCTCTGTTAATGGCAGGCATAATTCAGCCTAAAAGCCGGAAGTATATGGAACAGTTATAATAAAAATTATTAGGGAACATATGTAGGTATGTTTATGTAAGGTCAAATATCGCTGCGCTATAGTGTGCTACCAACTCCTTTATTAGACGTCCTAGAGATTTCTTACCATGGACTATTATATCAAAATCCACATAGTTTTCGCAGGAAGTAATCTATTGTCATTTCTCATATTTGAATTATCAGATGTTCGACTCTTTCGGTTTGAAAATTTATTAAAAACTATTGTACATTATTGTGTAGCATTTGCATTTGTTCGACTTCACTTCTTAAAAGAGAGCTTCGTCTTCACTCTTTCAGTTTACAGATCTTTGATCTCGACGAGCCAATCAGAGCTCGTCGTCGAAATACGGACGAATTTTTATACATGGCCATTTCCTCTAATAAAAGGTCAGTGTGGTCGATGTGAAATGATCTATGAATGCGCTGTCACAGGCACCGATCGTGGGGGCGGGGTTGCTAAACTGTAACATAGTCTATGCTAGGCAGAGGGTAGTTCATAACTAGACTTGGCGGGTAATTATTTTGGGTTTTCATGAGAACATTTTTCGCTAGTTTGATTTAGTTTCTGAGTTATTTTAGATGTCAATTTTTAAGGAATGGTCGGTGAATAGATATATCGAACTAGGTGCTCCCAGAGATAAACTTGTGCTTGGGATACCTATGTATGGTAGATCATTCAAGTTAACAACTCAAAGTACAGCTATAGGTGCCCCTACAGCTACCTGGGGAGCTCTTGTAGGCCCTTACACTGCGGAAGGGGGCTTCCTCTCATACTACGAGGTGAGTCGTATTTTTTGTTTTACTCGTATGTTAGACATAGTTCATATCTATACCTTTTTATTTTATTTCTTTATTTCAAATTATTACAATAAACACAAATACATTAGCGGCTTTGTAAGGTACATTATAAGCCACTTTTAGGATGATGATTCACAAAACTAGGTCTGCAAACGATCTGATAGTAATGATACTATAAGCATAATAGGTCACTAGACTGCCTATATGGTTGGGCTAGCACGATTCTCTTGCTAGTGGCCGGTTCTTAGCCCTATTTGCAAAAGTAACGTTACATAATGGTTATGTAATCCATTGTGTACGATTATGTAATATTATATAATAGTAATAAAGATTATCATCATTATAATTTGCCAACAAACATGAGTTGTTATGTCAACTAGTCATATATTTTTGCTTAACCCTGAGTGCCAAGGAAACCAGAATGATCCAGCTACATAAATGTAATTAATGTAATTAAGTGTTTTATGTAGTGAGAATGTAGTTTCAAAATCGACCTGTCAGTCATAGGCTACTCATTAGCCATCTAACCAATGGTGTACCAGTATGGATTATGTTTCTAAAGTATGGGGTATGGGCTAGGCCAGCATCTACTTGGATTTTAATTGACTAGCTATAGCTGATCCGTCAGCTATCAAAATTATTCTCAAGCTTACTTACAACTTTTCAGTTGCCACCCATTCCCCACCACCTCCCAGGGTTCTTAGCCCTATTTGCAAAAATAACGTTACATAATGGTTATGTAATCCATTGTGTAAGATTATGTAATATTATATAATAGTAATAAAGATTATCATCATTATAATTGAGTGCCAAGGAAACCAGAATGATCCAGCTACATAAATATACTATACTAAGTCCAAATCATAGTTCAAATGGTGAACACTGTTCTCGATCTTGAATAAATAAGTATTGTTGACTTTTGCCGAATTATATCTTTTATTTTGTCATATAGGTTTGTGCCAAAATAAAAGCAGGATGGACATACGTATACGACGCTCAGCGAGAAGACCCTTGTGCTTATTCTGGATCGAATTGGGTGGGGTACAGTGATAAGTACAGTGTAGCGAAGAAGGTAATTATTTTACCAGAACAATGGACATTTCTAATCATTTGAACTTCGCCATTTGAATATCTTAAAATAGTGTTCCTCATATGTATGATGAATCTACAGCAATATAATTCACAAGAGAGTGTATTGTTTATATATTTTTGAATTATAGGCTGAATTCATCATAGACAAAGGCCTTGGAGGTGCCATGATATGGGCCCTGGACCTGGACAATTTTAACAAAGATTCATTATGTAACACGGATACAGAAGATTACACCTTGTTAAAGACTATAAATAACGTTCTCGGTGGTGCAGTAATCACTACAACAACAGGACCAACCACGACAACTGAAGCAGGTATAAACACAGAAACATCCACCCATACAATCGAATCATATCATCTATTGTTTACGATGTTCCTCTTACAGTTTCAGAGAACACATAGGAACAACTTTTCAAAGAAACTTCCTAAAATACATCACAAGTCTAGATTCTTTCATTCCGGTTTTTTGAAAATGCCTTTGAGTTAAAAAGAGCCAAACAATATTTGTAGATTGGATGTGATGACCGTTCTAGCTGATTCCATTCCTTCTGTTTCCGTACATATAAACCAGCAAAACATTCGGTATTACTTTAGATAGAAAATGTCAACAACTCTAATTGATTTTTTACTTCTGCATCCACCGACAATATAGAACTGTAACATTTTCACGGCACGTTTGTTTATAAATTCCCGTATTGTAGCCCTCAATACATGTACATTAATCTCTTTCAGGTGCATCCACGACCACCCAATCAGCTCCCACAAATGAAGGTAAAATTTAACATTTAAGAGTACAAGCGGGACAACAAATCCTTTATATCCCAAACAATTATATATCCCACCATTCAAGAATGATGCATTATATTTGATTAGTATATGTTAAACAAAATTCTATAGCATCTATGATATCCACATGTTTTTTAATGATGGATTTTGATAATCATGTTCATATATTTGCCATAGATATAGATTTCCAAATCAATTGTTTTAAGACTCTCTTTGTGGCTCTATAAACTTTATCTAAGATGGAGGAAGAGCACATTCATTGCTCGGTTAATATATTTTTATAATTACTTGCTTTATCCAATCGTTGCCTTGTTTCTGTTCCATCGTATAGTGTTTGTATGCCCAAGTCAAGGTTACCGCTTGTACGAGGATCCAAACGACTGTGCTAAGTTCATAACATGTCTCGATGGCAACAATTTGGGCACCCAGTCCTGCCAACAGGGACTGCTATTCTGGGAGGACAAGCAATGGTGTGACTACCCAAGCAATTTTGAATGTGGTAGGAAGATAAAAGCCTACTATATAATTAACTTGAGATGTAATATATCAATCATTCTAACTGATTTCATTACTTCTGTTTCCATTGATAAGGCAACCAAAATTTAGTAATACCTTTTCCTCAATATGTCTACCATTCTAACTGATTTCATTACTCAATATGTTTTCATCAATGGAGCAGCAAAACAAAGTTATTAGTTGAAACGGAATATAGCTGCCATTTTTATTGATTTCATTACTTCTGTTTTCATCAAAAGCCGACGAATATTACTTCATTTGAACACGTCGAACATTCTAACTAATTATATCTGTGTTCATCTATCATGTCTCTGAGCTGGTCAAAAACCGTATGAAATGTGTCGAATATTCTTACTGATTTAGTTACGTTCAATTTTCATCAACTAGCTAGCCATTACTTCTGTAATGAGCCAGTAAAAGATTTAGTATTATTTCTTTATGGAATATGACGACCATTTTAATTGATTTCACTGCTTTAGTTTCCACCGACGAGGCAACTTTGCAACCTTCTTTACATTCAAACCAGTCTTATTCCTTTCAGGTGCAAGCACTGGCACTAGCCCATCAACGCCAACCACCACCCAATCTGCTTTCACAGATGAAGGTAAAATATTAGTCTCATAATTTTGAAGTATGTCCTCTAGAAAATCCACGTGGTGGATTTTAATAATTATGCCTTCATCTTATTTTGCTAGGTATTGTTATAAGAAATCAAGTGATTGAGTCACCATATGATAATTTCCATTGGGCTACTATTATTGATCTCGTTCATTGGCTGGTTGATTTAGATATATATCCAACACCTCACATTTTGTATGATACACCCAACCACTTATTTTCTGTTCCACTGTACAGTGTTTGTATGCCCAAATCAAGATCACAGATTGTACCAAGACCCAAACGACTGTGCTAAATTCATAACATGTCTCGATGGTAACAATTTGGGCACCCAGTCCTGCCAAGTTGGACTACTCTTCTGGGAGGCCAAGCAATGGTGCGACTACCCAAGCAATTTTAACTGCGGTAGGAATATAATACCATAAGAAAATAAAATGATTAATTGTAACAGTTTTGATTATTAATCCAATCCAACATTGAACCCTATCACATATTACATCTTCCAGTTACATCTTAACAATTGGACTACTATATTAGATACAGTATCATTAATGTTCCTTGACTGTTTTACATTATTCGAAACACAGGATTATGTCATATCCTAAGGGCTGATGAAACCGGTATAAATATTTTAATTTTGATCAAATATAATGTACGTTTCTTTTAATCACCAAAGCATGCAATCAACATCACATTCCTGGTATGTAGTGATGATGAACCACGAATCATGCACTGTTCATTCGTCTATGATATAGTAATACATGTGTTTAATACGTTTTTCTTACATTATTGTAGTGTGAAATGGATATAGAGAAGTACAGCAAAGAAGGATTATATTATGTATTGTAATATTATGAATGACTTCTGAAATAAAGATTGTACATCTCAGTTGTGTAATGTTGTTCAAATGTTATAAAATACATAAACAACTCCAAACAATCCTACCAATAATCTAACATAGAAACTGAGACTGTATTTTGTATGCCTGCGGTGCTAGTATATTACGTAATATTTTAATGAATTTTCCCCCCAGGTATCACTAAAGGTACGTTCACACCAACGGCGAATGCCACGCTTTAAATCGGCGAGCAAAGCGCCGTCATTTTTGTCATTTTTCTTCATACCAACGGCGCTTTGATGGCGCTTTAAAGCGGATTGTAAAGCGGCACCAAAGCGTAACAAAGTTTGATTAAAGCGTCGGGGTCGTAATAGGTCGTAGAAAAGCTCAGAGTAAAACGGGATATTCGGCAAGAGCGCCAAAAAATTTTAAACTCTTAAAAAATTTTGGGCGCTCTGTTACGAATCGATTAAGCGCCGAGAGCGTAACAAAGCTTAACAAACCGTAACAAAGCTCAGAAAAACTTGATCCAAAGCGTAGGAAAGCTTAACATAGCTCTAAAAGGCTCCTCACGCTTTGATCCCGCTTTGATCAGGCTTTGTTACGCTTGAAATCACGCTTTCAAAAGCTTTGATAAGCATTATTACGCTTTGATGCGATTATGACGCTTTAAATCAGGCTCTGATACGATTGCAAAACTCTGTTGTGCATTGTTACGCTCTGTTAAGCTCTGTCACGCATTGGAAAATGTCGAGATCGCCGATTCCATGCCGCTTTTGATCCAATGACTATATAAAGATGCAGTAGATCCATAAAACCATTGCATCTTTGACTCGAGAACACGATGGCAGAACAACGAGATCCAGAAATTCCAGATGGACCAGAGCATGACCTATCTGAAGAAGACATGACGTTTGTCGCACGGCGTGATATAGCGTGTGAAAACTTTCAAGCGTAACAAAGCCTAGCAAAGCGTTTCAATCCTTGATTAAAGCGTCTCAATTCGTTGGAAAGCTTGAGAGTCCCTCAGGAAAGTGTAACAAAGAGTGTCAGATATTGATGAAAGCGTCTGACCTCGTGTCAGATCTTCATGCCAGATCGTAGCAAATATTGAGACATCTTAACGAAGCGTTTCAAGTGGTAACAGACCGTGAATAGACTGGGGTCCCCGCTTTATACCAATCTGTGTTAAGCTTTCCTACGCTTTGAGTCAAGCTTTGTTGAGCTTTGTTACGGTTTGTTAAGCTTTGATACGCTCTCGGCGCTTCAATCAATTCGTAACCGAGCGCCCAAATTTTTTAAACAGTTTAACATTTTTTGGCGCTCTTGCCGAATATCCCGCTTTACTCCGAACTTTTCTACGACCTATTACGATCCCGACGCTTTAATCAAGCTTTGTTACGCTTTGGTGCCGCTTTACAATCCGCTTTAAAGCGCCATCAAAGCGCCGTTGGTGCGAACGCTTAAACAGTTTAAATTTTTTAGCGCTCTTGCCGAATATCCCGCTTTACTCCCGAGCTTTTCTACGACCTATTACGACCCCGACGCTTTAATTAAGCTTTGTTACGCTTTGGTGCCGCTTTACAAGCCGCTTTAAAGCGCCATCAAAGCGCCGTTGGTGTGAACGTACCATAAAGGTACGTTCACACCAACGGCGAATGCCACGCTTTAAATCGGCGAGCAAAGCGCCGTCATTTTTGTCATTTTTCTTCATACCAACGGCGCTTTGATGGCGCTTTAAAGCGGCTTGTAAAGCGGCACCAAAGCGTAACAAAGTTTGATTAAAGCGTAGGGGTCGTAATAGGTCGTAGAAAAGCTCAGAGTAAAACGGGATATTCGGCAAGAGCGCCAAAAAATTTTAAACTCTTAAAAAATTTTGGGCGCTCTGTTACGAATCGATTAAGCGCCGAGAGCGTATCAAAGCTTAACAAACCGTAACAAAGCTCAGAAAAACTTGATCCAAAGCGTAGGAAAGTTTAACATAGCTCTAAAAGGTTCCTCACGCTTTGATCCCGCTTTGATCAGGCTTTGTTACGCTTAAAATCACGCTTTGAAAAGCTTTGATAAGCATTATTACGCTTTGATGCGATTATGACGCTTTAAATCAGGCTCTGATACGATTGCAAAACTCTGTTGTGCATTGTTACGCTCTGTTAAGCTCTGTCACGCATTGGAAAATGTCGAGATCGCCGATTCCATGCCGCTTTTGATCCAATGACTATATAAAGATGCAACTAGATCCATAAAACCATTGCATCTTTGACTCGAGAACACGATGGCAGAACAACGAGATCCAGAAATTCCAGATGGACCAGAGCATGACCTATCTGAAGAAGATATGACGTTTGCCGCACGGCGTGATATAGCGTGTGAAAACTTTCAAGCGTAACAAAGCCTAGCAAAGCGTTTCACCCTTGATTAAAGCGTCTCAATTCGTTGGAAAGCTTGAGAGTCCCTCAGGAAAGTGTTACAAAGAGTGTCAGATATTGATGAAAGCGTCTGACCTCGTGTCAGATCTTCATGCCAGATCGTAGCAAATCTTGAGACATCTTAACGAAGCGTGTCAAGTGGTAACAGACCGTGAATAGACTGGGGTCCCCGCTTTGAACCAAGCTGTGTTAAGCTTTCCTACGCTTTGAGTCAAGCTTTGTTGAGCTTTGTTACGGTTTGTTAAGCTTTGATACGCTCTCGGCGCTTCAATCAATTCATAAAAGAGCGCCCAAAATTTTTAAACAGTTTAACATTTTTTGGCGCTCTTGCCGAATATCCCGCTTTACTCCGAACTTTTCTACGACCTATTACGATCCCGACGCTTTAATCAAGCTTTGTTACGCTTTGGTGCCGCTTTACAATCCGCTTTAAAGCGCCATCAAAGCGCCGTTGGTGCGAACGCTTAAACAGTTTAAATTTTTTAGCGCTCTTGCCGAATATCCCGCTTTACTCCCGAGCTTTTCTACGACCTATTACGACCCCGACGCTTTAATTAAGCTTTGTTACGCTTTGGTGCCGCTTTACAAGCCGCTTTAAAGCGCCATCAAAGCGCCGTTGGTGTGAACGTACCATAAAAGAACAATAAGCCATGCAATGCAAATTACATGCTCATGTGTTTTCAGCAAAAATGGCTTATCTATGCGCATCTACACTCACATAATTCTTTTGAAAGATACCACGGTTTGTTGCAGTGGAACTCATGCGGTGCACAAGCAACGAGCAGACGCGGTTGACACACGCAAACAGCCAACAAGGTTGCCACAGCGTAATTAGCGCTTGGATGAACTGCCTTTTGTTGAAAACTTGTGAGCATGTAATTTGCAACGCACGGGCTAATTGCTCTTCTTCGGGGTACAAAGGGGGAATCTAAGAAACGAGAATGTGCAAAGTAAATTTTAAATCGTTGAAATGGCACGTTATCTACGTTTATTTCAGATGAACATCATCAATTATAAAATACGGTAATACTATTTCAGTTACGCTTTCCAAATTTAGTGAGAATGTTCATTAAGCAACAGTGAACATTCTGTAAAGGATAAACAATGAACCCTAGGTTCATGTGAAATAATAGCCAAGGGCCAACACACCGGTACGCCGTCTTTCATCACAAGGGTTCAAAAAACGTAAATATTTTGATTCGAACTTTTATACATCTTATAAGACACAGACCATTATTTATCATGATGTAAATAATTCCTTTAATTTTACGGTATATGTCGGTGTTTAATTAGCGTGATTATACAATTGTGCTTTTCAGATTTGTTTGATTTTTCAAATACGGGCCAAGCAGATTCAACAAAATTGTGTGGAATATTCAAGTAATTTATGATTGCGAACATATTAGTTTTCTTACCATTTAAACATTTATTGCCAAAATCTATCCGTACATGTCTAATGCTCTATAAGAGGCATACAATCGAACACCTTGTACAATTCTTCCTTGACGTCACTGCTGGCTATCATCAAGTTTTCTGATGGTTGTTTCTTCTTTGACCTTACTTCAAATGTGTTGCTACCTTAGTTGGGTTTAAGAGCATGCCCGTAGCCAGGGGGGTTCGATGGGTTCGAGCGACCCCCCCCGGCCAAAAATTCTTTCAAAATCATGCAGTTTTTCATTTTTGGACCAAAATTGTCAAAGTGACCACCCCCCCCCCCTGAAGAGCATATAAAATTGGTGTCCGAAGGTGACAGTGGCATCTCTCAGATTAGGGGCACAGCTGCTCTAATGTTCAAGAACCATTATGACAATGCAAACCACAAGACCATGGAAAAAACACTTTAGTTGAATTTAAGTCATTGCAATATATGTTTGGAAATCAACATTAGCTTTAAATACAGATGACAGAGACAGAAGACAAAGGGCATTGTAAACAAAGTGATGTGGAACTATTGGATGGATTCAGCTCGAGAACAGTATTCAATATTAATATACAGAGTGGATTGTGATAAAAATAACCCGAATGGAAAATATGGATATCTAAGTTTAATTAGGTAAACTAAGTAAACAAAATGATATATAACTAATATCAATAACATTTTTGGTTTACTTTACATTATAATCTATTTTATACTGTCATGTTTGGACGTCGTTGCATACTGATGCGCGTAAATGTGACTGGGAATACAACGTTAACTGTGGTAGGGTTTGCGCTTTTGTTTTCAAGCATTAGTTGCAACATTTTAGAATATTTTTAGGTGATTCAAATGTACCAACCTCTTCATCTACTACGACTACAAAACCGACTTTAACATCAACTAAACCGTCTATAAGTTCAACGATTGAAACTGGAAGTAAGAAGCCCTGTTAAAAATTTGCTTAGCTAATTTATGAAAAAGAAAGACATACCTAAAAAGAACAAATAAGTTCCAACAAAGCGATTGACATTTAGCTGGGATTACTACCTAATGACCAACTGTACTCTGAAATGTTACCCTTCCTCATTATGTTTTTATTCCGACCCAATTTGATCTTTCCTTTTTGTAATTTGTGTTTATATATTTTCATTTTTTAATATTGGAATATCAATTTGTACCACATTCCTCTATTCGGGTAAAACACTATCATCTTACTTTAAAACCAATTGCAACTTCAGATTTTTGTCATGGAAAGAGAGACCGCCTCTACAGAGATCCTAAAAGTTGTGAAAGTTATATCTCATGCTGGAATGGTATTAATCAGGGCATCACCACGTGTCCCGATGGCACATTATTCTCAGAAGAACGAGGCTACTGTGACTGGGACTACAATGTTGATTGTGGTACTATAGCCCGATCAACAACTACTACAAAAGCAGTAAAGATATCAACAATGTCGCCAGAGGCTTCAACCTCAGCATCAACTATTTCAGCATCAGTATCATCTTCAACAAGTTCATCTGTTTTACTTGTAACGTCAACAACGAAAGCTACTCCAGAAGAGTCTTTATACAAACGAGTGTGCTATTTCACCAACTGGGCCCAGTATAGAGTTTATCCTGGGAAGTTCTTTCCCTCGGATGTTGATCCGTTTTTGTGCACACATATTATCTATTCATTCGGGAAGGTTGTGAATGGCCCTGCAGATGAGAGCACTATAGAGCCATATGAATGGAATGACATATCTGGTAAGTCTTACTCTTTTGGTCGTGGATGGACAGTTGTGTGAACGGAAATAATTATTTTACCTTCATCTAAAAAGCTGTAGAAAAAGCCAATAGAAACAGAATTATCTGTTCAATATAAATAACTATTTTAGCACTGTCAGAATGAATAAAATATCACGAGCTCTCGGCAACAAGTGCAAGGAACAATACACTAAGATTGTACTAGAGAATGTGTGATGGTCTGATAGCATCTGCTCTGTTTTCCCTTTGATCTGGGATAGTGTTGCTTTAAAACACACTTTATCCTGCGATGTATTTGTGAATTGCTGGGATCTAAGGCAAAGGGAATGTCGTTCCGGATTATTGATTTTCATTGGTGGATATTCTTGCTGATATATTGCATTATTTACATTTAGATAATCTTTATTTCAGTACTATATCCTGCTATTATGGCATTGAAGAGCACCAATCCAAATCTGAAAGTTCTCTTGGCTATTGGTGGATGGACACACGGGTCTAAACCATTTACAGAGTTGGTTGCATCGCCTTCTAAACTGAGAAACTTTGTCTGGAATAGTATAACTTATTTGCGACACCATGGATTTGATGGGCTTGACCTCGATTGGGAGTATCCAACGGCTAGAGGGGGTATCCCAGCGGATCGGGAACGATTTGTAGAGCTTTGCCGGGTATGTACTAAGGGAATCAGTGGCTACTTCTTATATGTATGTGGATACCGTATACATGTACGAATATAGTGACATTGTAACAGGTTCACATACCCTTATGTTTTGATCATTGCTCCTGTCGTGAGAGCAGCTGGGTCAGTTGACGAATTGAGAACTATGATTAATTATATGTATAACCAACTGACTCTATCGGTTATGTAGCTAGCTATTCCATATGCTAATTTTAGGAATTGAGAGGTGGTTTTGAACTCGAGGCGACACAATCCAACAGGGAAAGAATGCTACTTACTGCAGCTGTTGGATGCGGAAAAGATACAATTGATGCTGCTTATGACATTAATGGCTTTACACCGTTAGTGTTCAAAACGTGTATTCAAAATAGCGGCCATGGGCTTTGCATTGATTTGTGGTCAGACACTTGTGTCGGCTTAGGTGGGCGAGTGGAGAATGGGCATTTTTATTTTTATTTAGTATGAATTATTTTCTGATATGCTAGAGTGTGTTCCTTAAATTGTATCAAAATAATCAATATGGACTAAATTTATAATAAATTCCAACAAATGTGGATACATTTTAGATATTTGGATTTCATCAACTTGATGACGTATGATTTGGCCGGCCAATGGGATGGAAGAACTGCCATACATAGTGCACTTCACCCAAGAAACGAGGACCCTGCTCCTACTCTAAACCAGGTAAAATATAGGTTCCTAGTAAGGTTCTGTCCTGGAAATTAAAAGTCAGATGGAGCAATTTGAAGATAATCTGGTCCCTCTTTTGAAAATGGATTTGTTCCCCTTTTGAACATAAATTTGAGCTTAATTTTTGGAAGTTTTGGTCCATTATCTCAAAAGATTAAATATGTATAGGGCCTTTCAACAAATCAGCCAAATGTCTAAATAACTTGCTACATGTTTATAGGAGTATGCAGTGAATAGATTCATCAATGAAGGCACTCCACCGGAGAAGCTCATACTTGGTATACCTCTCTATGGCAGGACTTTTAGACTGTCTACCTCAGCCACAGGATTAGGCGCCCCAACTGCAACATTTGGAGCCCCATCTGGACCTATAACTAACGAGGAAGGATTCATGTCATATTATGAGGTATTTTGGCAATTGGTTCAATCATGATGAGGAGGAGTACAACCCTCATGCAAACGTTGTTAAAAGTAATATTAAAGAAATATTTTAAGTAAAGCTTGGGTTAAGAAGTACAGTATAGGGTCACGTCACATATAGATTAATGAGAGGTTATTTTCAATTTATGAACTTTTTACAAATGCTATAATGTGAATTTTTGTGTTTGCCTTTATATTTCTGTTCAATATTTGTCCAATAGATATGCCAGAAGATAGCATCAGGTTGGACATATGAATATGACAATGAGCATGACGACTCATACGCCTTCTCTGACTCTGATTGGGTCGGCTATACAGACACTCTAGGCATCAAGGCAAAGGTTGGCACCATAAACTATGAGTTATATCGAAGAAGTATTGACTACTTTATCGATTAATGTTATTTATTTTGTTTTGATTATTGTTTTATCATTTCTTATAGATTGATTTCATAAAAGATATGCGGCTAGGGGGTGCCATGGTGTGGGCGTTAGATTTAGATGATTTCACGGGTAACTTGTGTAGTCTGTCACTTGAACGTTATCCCTTGCTGAATGCTATCAAAAATGGTCTTACAACATAACAAGCAAACGTGGACTTACACAAGTCATGCTTTACAAGAAGAACATGGAAGGCATATATGTAAATGTTCGTCTAAATAATATACTCAATCAATGCTGGATGTTATACTAAAAAACAAAATACACTGATTTTTGGAAACATTGCACATTGCAAGTTTATAAAGCATAGAATTACTGCTGAATTACTAATACAATTTATAACCCATTCTATTTCATAAATGTTTAATGGTACTGTAATAGTAATGTGTAAGTTGTTAAGTGAACAGAGTTAGCCACCTGGCGGTCAAAGCATGAACTTTCGACTGGCACTGCGGTATATGGCATAATCCGCAAGTGAGTATGACATATTCCGCAGGTGAGTATCGAGTGTTCACTGAAATCAATGTATCGCATATTCACTGCGGAATACGGCATACTCACCTGCGGAATATGCCATATACCGCAGGTGAGTATGGCATATTCACCCGTATCACAAATACCGCACAACCATGAATGTATGCCATATTCCGCGTAACAATAGCTACAGTTTTTTGTATAAGCGTTGTTAAACCCCAACTCACTGGGCTTGGTGGTACGTATGATTTCAGAGAGCACCCAGTATTCATATCAAGGTATATGTCCATTTATACCCTTATAAGGTAGCTACAGTGTATAATCATTCTATATTATTCATACTTAGCAAAACATTTGATATGGTCAATATTTATCATTTAAAACGGCGATGTTTGTTTCCATTAGACTGTTATCTTCTAAAATCCCACACAAGAAGTAAAGTCATCGACTATGAACTTTTAATAGCCATGCACACTGGCATTTCTTTCTGGGCATAAAAGTATTTTCAGAAATCGTCAACTTGGAATAAAAGTAATGATTATTTGTATAATTAAATAATTGGCATATTGAAAAAAAATAATTAGTTTTTTTCTTACATACCTTCTAATCTAATGCTGTATGTAAATTTAATCGTTGATGACTTCTCTTCCTGTGTCAAACCTTAAAAGATGGCAGCCTTCTTGATATTAACTGTTCGCTCTTAAATGATTATGAACATGTGAACCCTCATATTTTTGACATTATGAAAAGTATATAAGTAAAACAGCAATAAACTTACAAGGAATATTCCTTTAACAAAGTGTGTACTTTTAAATTAAAATGGGATTCTTCGATAATCCAAGTCAGGTGCTAATCCTAATATCCTGAAATGATTATAAGTGCTGCTACGTCATCTTGATTTATTTATTTATATGTATGTATTTATTTATAAATGAATGAGGGACGTAATTTTTATAAGTGTTTTAATTCATTTAGTAGTAGACTGCAGAATTCACTATCATACATATCAGTACGTATCCAAACAGTCATATTTAACAAACCGGGTCTATAGCTTAATCAGAATGAACTTCTACACTTTAACGCGCGCGCATGTGATTTGTTTATGTTACTAAGGGACTCAAATAGCGGCGTTGTCAAAGCAATAGATGGTAGAGAGACTGCGCCGCAATTGATTCAAGCTGTTTTCTGGCATGCAGCTGGGGTTAGCGTTGGAAAATGTTTCAGTAAGTCTTTGAGTTCTTGAAGTTTCTGCTGTGGTTAATATAATCGCATAGTCACTGAGTCAATTTTTACACCAAGAAATATGAGTTTTTGAGAGGGCATTCCCACCTTGTTCCAGCTGATAGAAAATCCCAATTCAGGCAAAAAGACTACAAGATTGTTCATTGCCACAACTACATTGCTTTTTTGTTGGTGCAACTACAAAAATTGATCGAGATAACATGCGTTTTACAGCTTGTGCGAGTCTAGCTATTGAATATCTCAAGGCTCTTACGAGTACCAAACATGAGATGGGTGTCAACAGTATACTCATGCTCTTTTGATCCTGTGAACTTCCATTTATATTAAGTCCTGCATATTTATAGTCTGTTACATTTCTTACCCATTATAACAATAACATGGAAAGAGGCTAACAGATCTAGCAACTTTGACTTGACAGGTGTACATGCACGCAACAGTCCACTAATTCGCTAAACATCTAATGCACGCCCGGTGATCGTACAAAATGGATGGAGGGGGGGATTAGGCAATTTCTGCAAGAAAACAAATTTGGAAGATTTATTTTTTTCAAGAGAAAATTTACAACTGAATTGCCAATTAAATAGGCGCAATGCATGGCAAAATATATTAGGTCATCTAGTATTTTTTTGAACTGATACCCTTCTAAGATATGAGTTTTCAATTTATTTTGATTATTTTTTGTATAACGCATTGAAATTAACTTTAAAAAGTGAGCAATGTCATTAGTATTCTGATAATAGCGTCCCTTATACCTATTTATTCCAGGTCGTGTAGACCGTTGTTGCCCGATTTATAGCAAAAACATTGACTTTTGCACGTTGGTGATGATGCTCCTTTTTTAATAGATCTCATATCTTAGAAGGGTATCAGTATTTTGTACGATCACCGGGCGTGTAATATGTACAACTAATACTATACGTTACCGTCCATAAAATGATCATACAATTCATACGTAGTCATCAACAACATTGCAATTGAAACCTTATTATTTACATTATACACCTCACTTTTGTTCTGGATTTGTCATTTTATTACTTGTTCATACACAGTTTACTTATGCCTTGGTCACATTTGCTCCGATTTTCACTACGGCGCCCGGCCGATTGAGTATTTTGTTCAAAATTGAATACAATATTGAACAAAACACTCAATCGACCGGGCGCCGGCCGATGGGTCGGAGCATATGTGACCCAGGTATTACGGTTAATATTTTGATGTGGCTCTGAGGCACACATACTGAGAAAACACGAGAATGGACTAAAAACAGTGAAATATATGTATCTCAGCCAGTAGCTTTACAGCTTATAATATTCTGCTTCTTGTTGACCACCTGGAAGATTTGACTCGTCTTTATAACTATCCATACATACGTCACCGAATGGAACTAGCTTAAAAAGAAATTTTACCTGTGAACCTTGCCTACAGGCGAGAAAGAGGACATTTCCTCTTTCCCATCCGCCATTTTTGTTACCGCAAAGTTTTGCAAATCGCCTTGACGTAACCGTCATGGTATAACAGCGTGTTTATGGTCTATTCAGTCGAATCACATATTAACCTACCCTATTCATGCATGGCTGACGTCAGTTTATCTCAAATTTCTTCATAAATTGGTACACAGTTGAGACAATTGTATTCAAAAACACACAGATGATGTGAAACACATTCCGCTAGCTGAATATTTTAATACGAATAAGCTATATCGATGTGATTACAAGATTGATCCTTTGTTTTGAAAATTTTTTCCAAAATCTTACGACTTTTTATCAGAATCTGCGGATTTTGCATGAGAGTGCTGTTTTATTACTACCTGTGAAATAGTAATAATTCATTTTTTAAACTGTCGTTTATATTATTTGTATGTGTGGGATGATATATGGGTCCTATCAAATCATAATATACTTCCCATTTCAACATACTTTGTCCCGAACACGGCTTGCTATTCTACGGCGTAAATGAGATGATACAGCATGCCTACAAACAGAAAGTAAGTCATAAAATGCTTAATTATTGAAAAAGTGTATACTTATCATGAATATTAGTACAATAACGTCATTTCGTAGGGCAATATTAAGCAAATATTTCATTCTATGGAGGGCAATACCTGTTCATCTTTCAATGATTTTTGCAGCATGTATTTCACTATATTGCCCGCAGAAATGACGTTATTTGTATTATTACCACCGTTAATGCCCAGGACTGAAACAGCAAGAAAATCTTACGCACTGAACTGACACAGCAAGAAAATCTTACGCACTGAATGATACCTAATTTCCCGGGGAAATATGGACCACCAATATGACGTCACACATTTCTCAGGTCCATATAGTAAAATGAATGCCTTTTAAACTAGCACTAAAACCCCTAGAACTGGCCCGGCAAGGTGGTAATAATAATCGTTAATTCAACATCACATAAGTTGAAGAAAATATACTGTCTGATTGTGAATCAGAATGATAATTGATAACTTCTGTGCAGTATTATCAAATATATCTTATATATGTACATTATTAATGCAGGAGCCGCACTTCGTTGATGTTTGTTTTGGTGTCACTGATTGGCATTATTCTGCTGATAACTGGAATCTCAATCTGGTCGGCCACCATAGCAACATGGATGACACTAGAAAACAATATAAGCATGACAGCACATGTTGATACGGGTAATACAGGTAATACAGGGCTTTTAAAAGGATTCACATATCCACGACCAACTAGACCAGCGACCTCTGATCCACAAAGGTATAAACACGCTGCTGTGACATCTGATGTGAATGAATGTTCAACGGTGGGTCGGTGAGTAGCTTTTTACATACGTAAACCTTTTTAGCTCACATGTTGAGCTTTTGGAATCACTCACTTGTCCGTCTGTCTGTCCGTGCGTCCGTCCGTCAACAATAGTGGCACGTTTTAAAACCTCTGTCGATAGGATTCCTGTTTTAAGTTAGTTCTGTTCAACATCAATACAGAAAACTCCCCTATGACTCCTGGTTCAAAAGCTCTCCTATTTTCAAAATGGCCGCCATTTTTGTCTCGCGAAACTCACGTTTGGCCCATTTCTAAGCTTTACAAATAATTTCAGGTGCCCTACATTGTAAAAATCAATGTCAATTTAAAGAGTAGTTGTACGAAATAATTTTGTTACAAAAAATCAGCAAAAAATTATATCCATTTTTTTTATTTTCAGCCATTTTAGTTGACATTGATTTGTCCATCTGTCTCGCGAAATCCACTTTTGGACCATTTGCCTTGAAACCTCTGTCGATAGGATTCCCGTTTTAAGTTAACTTTGTTCAACATCAATTCAAAAAACTTCCCTATGACTCTTGGTTCAAAAGCTCGCCTTTTTCAAAATGGTCGCCATTCTTGTCTCGCGAAATTCACTTTTGGCCCATTTCCTAGCTTTACAAATAATTTCAGCTGTCCTGCATTGTAAAAAGCCATGTCACTGTAAATAGTAATTGTATGAAATAATTTTGTTACAAAAATCGGCAAAAAAATATATCCATTTTTTTACTTTCAGCTATTTTAGTTAAAATTGATTTGTCCAATTGTCTCGCGAAATCCTCTTTTGGACCATTTGCCTTAAAACGAAATTCAGTTTTTGCCCATTTCTAGCTTTACAAATGTGTCCTGCATTGCAAAAAAAGCCATG